TGAAAATCATGGCCAATAATTTTTTTAAAAAGGTATTGAAAACTTTGACTGACGCAACAAATGAAACTGAAAATGAAGAAAAAGGTAAATGAAGACATACAATAGAAGGAATAAAGTGGAAAGAGGGAAGAATAAAAGAAAGACATAAGTAAAAGGTTATTTTGAAAAGCTATTTACATTGTTTTATGTGAAAGCCTCACTGTAGTCACATTTTACCTTTATCAAGGGAGATATAAGTAAAATTGTACTTACTTGTAATTGGTTTTCTTCAGATAGATCTCATCATTTCTACATTTCAGAACAAGTCTGCGCTTTGGCCAGAGCTCTTGCTGTGTTATTTGAACAATGGCCTCCTGAAGATGTCAAATTATCTAAATAGACATCCTAAGCATGAAGGGCTGAGATCCACTTCTAAATACTGCTAACGCAAACTAAAAGGAACAGAAGACAAGTGCACATTTATGGGGAATATACAGAAGGTAAGTAACAATTTCTGCATACTCTCTCCTCCAAAATATACCCATGTCTTCTGAAGGCTAACAAGAACATTTTCAGATATTAGGCCAAACTAATTTTAAAAAGCAGACTGTAAACCTCTTCTACCAGTCCAGGAATCATCCCTTGCCTTGGAATTAATCTTGTACAAACTGAACTCTAACCTACTATTTGCCCTAGCTCAGATAAGTGATGGGAACAAGCAGCATCAGCAGCTACCCTCAACTCCAACAGAATGCATATGCTTCTTGAAGCCACATACCATAACTTTAATATCAATAATTCATTTAGACATTGTTTGGGATTAATCTAACATTTTTCCAATGTCTAAATGTCACAAAAGCATATGTAACTTGTAGAAATTCTACCTCAAATCTAAGATTTATGGATTACTTACATCCAATATGGCTAAAATAAAAACAACCCTGGAGAAATTAACATAAGGAAAAAAACAGGAGATATAGAGTTGACTAGCTCCAGATGACTTTTTTTTCCCCAAATAAGCTAATAAATGTCAAATATACTGGGTGTCCGGTACCTGTAGTGTATAAAACCATATGACTGAACTCAAAATAATTAAAAGGAAAGTTCAGTAGATATTTATGGAGAGACTAAACCAACCCTTGTGAACGAGAAACATTTTTGAAGTAGCCAAATATGTGCACCTATCCAAAAATACTGGAAAGGAAACTTGTGTACACCATTTAAAGAATTAGGCCTTTTGAGCACATGGGTCTCCCATCTTCAACCAAAAAAGTGAAGATAGGGAAGTCTGTCTTCCTTGCAGCTGAGATACTAGTAGCATTCAAACCGTTAGCTGGAGAAAACTAGGTAAATGAAATGCTGCAGATAATGAAATGAAGGCTGAAAACTGGGACTCAATTACAATTTTGCCCTGATTAGTTTATCTCAATTTCAAGTATGAGGGATATTGGGGGGAAAGGGGGACACCTTTCAAGGCAGCACAAAACTTTCAAATAAAGGATTTTTCTTCTTTCAGGCAGCATAGGTGATTTTTTTGTTGGTTGGTTGGTTCATAAATCCATGAAGTGCATGAAGATCAATGGATATGACTGTCTCTGTGTGAGTGCGTGCAAGAAGAGAATAATTTAAGGCTCAGTTTCTTAGAAGGGTCCAAATTGAACTTCTTGAAACATTCTTTTAAAAATAAAATATGAAAATGCTATGAATTTTTATATAACAATGACACTAATATTTAGTCAAGGAACCATGACAAAATGAAGAGAGTCACTATTTACAATACATTCACTTACCCACTACAACACAGTACTTTAAAGAATATAAACTGGTAATTTCACAGAAGGTTAAGAAAACAGTTTTATGAATTGGTTGTGGCCCTTCAGTGAGCAGAAGCAAACAGATTTAAGGCTTTTGGCTTGAGCCCTTACTATTTCTAGCATATGACTCAGGTTGGTGCATGAACAAGGGCTCAGGGCTCTTTTTTGAACTCAACTCCTCTAAGGTATCTGGGGCTAAGGGCTAAGGCATAAAAGCTCTCTCTGAAGTAGAGACAGATCCATCCAGCAAAATGGAACATCAAAATCTGAATTTAAGCAGCGCATCCTCATATTAGTGCTTAGATGAATTATACCCACACACAAAGACAATTTTAATGCTACAATATGCTTCATATTTTGGCTTAATATCCAATACAATGCATGGATTCTGCATTAGTGCAGATAGCCTAACTTTGACATTCAATGCTCGATTGTGGGTCAGTTGCTAGATTTTTAAACAGCCCCACTCCCTAGAATAGTAACATGCTGAATAATGCCTACATTTGAAATGTGTACATATTGGAGTGGTTAATGAGAGCAATTGGGATATTCAAAAATATAAAATGGCATTGAAGAATCACTATAAAAATATTTCTCTCCCACTATGCAGTTTATAATTTTGTCAGAAAACCTACCCTGTTCTTGGAGAGCTGTAGTTAACTAAAAGACTCAAAAATGCTTATTTCTGTAATTTCAGTGGTAGAGTTGAAGATTTAAAAACAACCACCTCTCCCTTAAAATGGGGGAGTTCCCCCTATCCAAATCTAATAATGAATGTGCAACAGGTCAAATTTGGATTTTTAAAAGTTTGGCAGTCCCCCATTCTATTCAGGCTACCATAACAAATTCTCATGTACAGAATATGTTACCAAAAAGAAGAAAAATAGAGCATATTTCCTATCAAAAAGATCAAGAAATCCACTAACTTGTATGCACATATGTAGAAATCTAAAGACATATAATGGAAAAATACTGCA